GAAGAATGAGGATACAAGTCTCCATAAAAAAGAGTTTTGATAAAGCATGTTATATGTGGCCTTAAAACATCCAACACCAAATCATTCCTGTGTCTTTAAGAATCTGTGGCAGGCCTTGTTACGAGATTTTGCTGCGTAAGGGAAAAGCGAAACGTGAATAAATGTAAATAATTAAAATAATTTAAATTTTACGTTGTTAAAATTTAAATTATGTCAGTTGCGTTTTTACTTCATTGTAATTAAATTTTAAATGACATTAAAAGCTATTGTTAGTCTTTGAAACAAAATAGCTTTAAATTGATCAATATTGTTATAAAAAAAAAACTAAAGTTTTGATATTGATTAAAAAAAAGTCTTCTTGTATTAAAATCTTATACTTATTTAAACTTAATTTTTTTGCTTTCAAATATTCGTTTTATGGTTGCTTTTTTTTATTATTATTTTTTTTTTAATAATTTAAATTTAACACTTGTTAATGGTTGATTTTTTTAAAGGGAATTAAATGTACTTACAACTAAACGCATAGATTAGGTTTTCCCCTTTTTAAAAAAATGTTTGCACTCACTGGTTTTGATAAAATAAATATTGTAAAGAAATGAAATTTACTGCTTTTCGGCTTTGTTTTTTTTTTATTTCCATTAAAATATTTTACTTTTATGTACAGTGAAACCTAATGTATTTTTACTATTTTTTTACTCAATCCAAAAAAAAAAAGTGTTTTCGGTTTTAAGATGTTATAAGGCAGAATTTGTTTTTAACAAATATCATTATAATTTTGAAATTTATGTATCTTATATTTATAGCTCTAGTACTAGTTTTGTTTTTAAAATAGAATAAATATAAGTTGGGCTTTTAAAGAGTTTATTTACAGATCGCGTTATTTTTAATTGGTTTGAATTTTGGTTTGTTTTATAAAAAAACTTTTTTGGCAAACGGCTAAGGGAAAACCCAAACATAACATTTATAACTCGAGTTTAAAAGAACTTTTTTGTATTGACGTTATTTATTAACTTGTAGTTATAAAATGAATTTTCTGCTTCTGTAAATAATGAATGAAACTGTAAAATAATGGAAAAAAATTGGAAAATAATGCGCTTCTGTTCAGCGCATTATTCAGACCAGTATTTGGAACTGGAACTTACCTGAAACTTAACTGAAATTAAAATAAAGTTATATGTAATACAAACATTTTAAAGTAACTTGAATTAAATTTATTAAATCTTTTTTTACTTTGGAAATTTTATCATAAAAAAAAATTGTAAAACGAGGCATTTTAAAATTAAAAAATTTTAAAAAGCTCTGTTTAAAAATTAAATAAAAGAATTTTAATTAAATTTAATAAATTTATTTACTAAAAACTATGATTAATAAAAAAATTTTAAATTTAATAAAATAAATTAAAAATATATATATATATATATTTTTTTTTAACTTGAATGTTTTTAAACTTATGAAATATAAAACTTAATATTAAATATGATAAAAATTTTAAACTTAAAACACTTATTTTTTTTAAACTAATTTTTAACAACAACAATAAAAATAATTAAACAAATTTTTCTTTAACAAAAAATCTTTTAGTTTACAATTGCGGTTAAATGCTTTTACTTACGACTTTATTTTCTTCTGAATAAACGTCACATAAAAGATATCAAATGATAATTTAAATACTCTAAAAGATTAAAGTTTTTGCTAACGCAAAACTGCTGAACGCGTAGGCAAATTGCCTTTTCGCAGGTAAAATGCGAGCTGCGTAACGGTTCTTAACAAGGCCTGCTGTGGGGTATAGATTGATCCACAATATTCTAAATGGAAGCAGATTAGGGTTGAGAATTGTTTTTTAAATGAATATAGATTTAAATAAGATGAAAATGATCTTTTTATCAGACCCAGTATTTGTGTTGCTTTGTTGAGTTGAGTAGTTGCTGTGTTATGTGTTTTGAAAATAATAAATTTGAGTCTGTGTGAACACCTAAATCGCGTTCACAAATTGTGAATACTGACTCTTTTGTTTTGATCTGAATCATAAATAGTGTACGTAAGGGATTTGTTGTTGCGTTCTAAGTGTTGTATAGAGCATTTATCACTATTAAGTTTCATTCTCATTTTTGAGACCATAGAACAAGAGCGTTAATATTGTTTTATAATTCTTGCAAAAGTTGAGTATTTTCAAGAGGACAAAAGATTTTGGTATTATCATTAAAAAGTGCTGCTTTTAACTTAATTACTTCAGGGATATTGTTGACATAAGTAATAAAAAGTAACACAGAAAGGATAGAGCCTTGGGAAACTCCACCTTCAACCGTAATCCAGTTTTTATCCAACAAAGTAATGGTCCATTTATACTATAAGCTTTAAGTTTCGAGATAAGAAAGTTGTGTGGAACCTTGTCAAAAGTTTTTTTAAATCAAAGTAAATATTGACAATGGGAATATTGTTATCAAGTGATAGTGTCCAATATTTAATTACATTTAGTAGGTTGGTTAAACATGAGTGACCTGAGCAAAATCCATGTTGGTGTGGACTTAATAACTTGTTGTTAATTTGTGTGTGCCAAAATATGCTTTTGTATTATTCTTTCAAAAGTTTTTACTGAGATACAAGTTTTTACTGAGTTGAGATCTATAATCAATAGCTTTTGATCTTTTTTTATATATAATATTGGTGAAATTGTTGCATCTTTCATTAATTGTGGTATTTAATCACTTTCAAGGGCGTTAAAATAGTAGATAGCTAAATACTATCAAGTTTTATTTGTCAGGGTCTGATGATTTTGACGTGTTTAGATTAAGGAGATATGTTTCAATGTTTTTTGGACTTAGATCAATATTATTTAAAAGTGGATTTTCATTTTTATATCTTAAGCCAAACAGTGGTGTTTCTATTTTTTTCGCTTGAAAAAGTAATGATAAAATATTCATTGAATAGTTGAGCTTTATCTAGATTCGATGTTGCAACTTTTTTATTGTAGTGGATGTTTGGGAATGTCATTTTATTTTTGATTTTTGATTTGATATCAGAATGTAAAATTCTTTAGGATTTCGGTCAACGTTTTTAGCAGGGTTTGTTTTTCAAATTCAATAATTGCTTTTCTGCATACTGTTTTGGTTTTGTTTTTGAACTGTGGAACTCGTTATATGTTTTATCACTTCTGTTTTTATTATTATTATTTTATTATTGATATTGACAATGTTTTGCCTGTTTTTTTATATTTTATTTATTATGTTGCTGTGGTTTGTATAAAATTTTGTTTTAAAATGTTGCTGTGGTTTGTATAAAGTTTTGTATAAAAGTTTGTATAAAACATTGTATAAAATAAATATTTTAGGGTAACAAACTCATGATCATTGATTTCAAATTTTTTTATTTTGGGGTAAAGTTTCTCTTATAAAAATAATTTGGGGTTTTAAATTGTCTAGAATTTGTATGAGCTCATCAGATTTATTTATGAGTCAGTATTTGTACAAATAGCTTTTACAGAATTAATTTTAATATTTTTTTTCAATGATTTTAAAATTAATCCAATTCATTTTATTTTTATTATGTTTTTTGTTTACTAAAATTAAGTTTGATGACTTCATTGTGCCTGATGATCCATCGAAAGGGTGAGTTTGGTTTTTTTTCTAGAAGTTGTTTTTTTTTTTTTTTTTTTTTCTGTTGTTTTCTTTTTTTCTAAGTTCAGAATCGGTTAGCCTTTCAGGGATTGTCATATCTGGGTTTATGAAAATATTTGTATAGTTGATGTTTTTGCATGATTCCCTTTATTGCGTTTTCAGAAAGTAGAGTGGTAATGGGTGGAGGCGTTTTTAATTTTTTGTTTGTTTTCTAATCTGATTATTTTAATTGGTTTTTCATCACTTTTACCAATTTCCTCAAATATCTGATCAATTATTTTTTATCATCATTATTTTTTTCACGTTGATGTGAATTATTAGATTCTGGGTTTTCAAAAATGGTAGTATTCTTTTCATGTTTTTTTTTTTAAATTTTCTGTTTGGATAATATATTTTTTGTAATTAAATTTACAACAATAGCTTTTTCTGCAGATTTATTTTTATAAAAAGGTTTGATCAAAACGTAGATGAATTGATTTGTGTTTCTTTTTTTGATTCTAATAATTTAATTCTTTTTAGAAGATTTCAAAAGTTTCATTTTGCACCCATATCATGTCAGATAGTTCAGCACAGTTAATTTTACCTTGTTTAATCATAGATATTGTGGTCTGATGAAAAATAATAATGATAACAGTATTATAATAATATTTATAAATTTATTATAAGATCCTAAAAAGTATTTGTTTTTATTCATATTATTAAATTTTTTATTAATAAATTTATTTAGAATATAAAAACAAAATAAAATATATAGAATTTGGAAAACAAACCAACAATTTAAAAGTTAAGTTATAAGCAAAAAAAAAAAAGAAAAGAAAATTATATGCACTAATTATATGTACTATATATATATATATATATATATATATATATATATATATATATATATATATATATATATATATATATATATATATATATATATATATATATATATATATATATATATATATATATATATATATATATATATATATATATATATATATATGCTGAAAGCAAATTCTCTGACAAATAAAAACCAAGTCTCGTCTGTGAAATTTTAACCAGTAGTTTTTATTTTATACCCTTTCAATTGATCATGATAAAAAAAATTTATTTAATACACATTCATATAGCTGTTTTTAACTCAGTTTTGAAAGGTTTGATAATAGGCTATGTATAATATCATATTTAAGTATATTATAAAATTAAATAATTACATGTTACTGTTTTCAATATATAATTTTCAATCAATAATCAAAAACTCAATATATAAATTTTATGTTGTTTTTATTTACTTTTTGTTCTTTTCAAAAAAGTGGTACAAAACATAAAAAATGGCATTTCAAAAAAATTTTAAAATATAAAAGGCATGTGACTTAAACAGTTTAATAATTTATTTAGTTAGTCCAGCTGAAGTCCTTGTGGGCAAATAATTCTATTGTATTATCTTTTGTTCGACGCTGGGGATGAAAATTATGCCGTGCCTTAGCATCAGAATTGAGTTTAATAAAACCTCTTTTAGATGCTAATGGCATTGGCTTAGTTGCAATTGGTCTTGAAGAACTTGGAATAAAAGCTTTTGTTGATGGCCAATACTTTAAAGGAGGTAAATATTGATTAAAGCTGCAATTTATTGCGTAATAGTTTGGTATAAGATATTTAGATACCAATGTTATGTACCTTATCTAAAAAGATTTTTTAATGTTTTAAAATATTTTAAATGAAAATGAAAAAAAAGTAGGAAGTTTCTGAGTTTTACTTCACCAGATGAATGCATAATATGTTGTTTTTTTTTTTAGATTTATACATTGATCAAGACTATCACACATACAAAGGACTGTCTTTAGGAAGGTATTTTTTTTTTTTAGATGTTTTTTATAAAGCCAAAATTAATAAGTACGCATATCCTTATAAAAAAAAAGGTTTTATTAGAAATAAGCAACATATTTTATCACGTTTGACTTTAATATATATTAAAGTTAAATATGATAAAATATGTCACTTATTTCTAAAAAAAGTTTTTAGAAATTTTTTTAGAAATAAGTTTTTAAAATAATTAAAAATTTTTTTTTTTTGTAATTAAAACGTTTTAAATTAGCAATTTCCTACACAGAATTTATGTAACAATATAAAGTTAAAAAATGACATTTTTTATTTAGAGTTGGTCTTCTTAGTGTTCCTTCACAGATTTTGTCTAGTTTTACAAAGAACTTAAATGCAAAGGTAATATTTTAGTTAAAAGGAGTGCTTTTTTATATTTGATTCAAAAGATTTTTGCATTTTTTAATTGTTTATTGTTTTACCATTTAGTTTTTGCCTTTTTTTATTTGTTTTAGTTTTAAAACTTAAGTTAAAAGTTTTATTTGAATGCATTATTGCAGTTTTAGAGCTTTAATATTACAACTTGCACACATTGTTTCAGTTTTGTAGCTTTAGCATATTATTTCATAGATTTAGTCTCAGAAACTTAACAAATGGTTTCAGTTTTTAACATATTGTTTCATAGTTTTAGTTTTATAGCTTTTCAATTTTTATTCAAATTCACTCCCAAAAGCGCAAGGAAATGGTTGACTGAAGACTTAAAAGTTGTAGATTGTATAAGTCAGGAAAACATGAAGTTTGGAGAGAGTTCCAAAGGGTTGAAGTGTGGGTGAAAAAATTTAGGCAAGTAAAAGTTTTTAGAGCATGTAGGGACAGATACAGTAAGAGGATGTGAGTTTGCTAAATGACGAGTTAAGCAAGAAATAGATGTTTTGGTTGATGGAACTAGAGATGATAGCTCCTTTGAGCAGCGACTCTAATATTTTTTGTAAAAAAGAGAAAGAGATGCAACTTTACAACAATGAGAAGTTCAAGCTTGACAGATAAAGCAGTTTCAACAACATTTACAATGCATTTTTAGATCTTGTCTAAAAAAAAAAGAGCATCATAAGAAGAACCAGCCTAAATATGACAACAGTATTCCATACAGAGACAAATACGAGATTTAAAAAATACTACTAATAATATTTCTTTGAAAATAGAATCAGGAGTAAGATAATGGTGGCCATGATAAAGAGAAGCTTAGCAGATGCTAACTTTGCAATCAATTGTTTCCATGGTTTCCATTAGAGGTCAGTAGTTTCCAGTAGAGGACTCAGTGAGTGTGGTGCCATTCATTATAATAGAAATGTTGACAGTTTTGGGATAGTTATTTGCAGTAAAGAGTTTCGTTGAAGTAAAAGTTCACAAGCTATTGCAAGTCCTAATCTGTTACAGAAGTAAGATCAGATTCGAGATTAGATATCTGTTCTAAGCGATCAAAAAGACTTTTTGTCAAGACTGGACTATTAATCAAGTTGTCAGCAAATATAGTCACTTTAGATGTAAGATTGTCAGGAAGGTAATTAATGTAGATAAGAAACAAGGATAGAACGTTGAGGTACTTTTGAAATTACTGGAAATAAAGAAAAGTGTTCAATGATGACTACAATAAAGCAGTTAAAAAGAAATAATTTGACAATCTCAAAAATTTTTCCAGATAGATCGCATGAAGCAAGCGTATGGGGAAGGCCAGCTTGCTAAACGTTATTAAAGGCTTTATATATATCAAGTGCAAGAGCCCTTGCCTTACCGCCTCTAATGTGTGATAGAATCTTTCAGTCACAGCAGTTAGCAAGTCAGTTGTAGAACAAAAAGATCGAAAACGGTATTGATTGTCTGACAGTTGTTTGACTCATAATGCAAGATGTTAGAAATTTGTTGATCAAAGACTTAAATACCTTGCTAATAGAGAGAAGACTGATCAGATGGTAGTTAGAGGGATCATAATGTTCTCCAGAGTTTTTAAAAATTGGAACCATAGATGCCATTTTTCAGCAGACATAAAAACAAGATTCAGTCAAACATTTGTTAAATAGTTAAGAGAGAATTCTAGAGAGTTCTGGAGAACAATATTGTAAGACTATGACAGGAATGTTGTCTGGCCGTAAAAGAGTTTAATTAAGATATGATTTTAGCAACGGACGTTGAAGTGATTTGAATGTCTAGCAATGTGTTAACTTGTTTAACTGGAATGGCAGGAAGAGTAGACTAAGAGATTCAAGAGTCAAATATAAAAAAAATTCTTTGCAAATAATTCTACTTGGGAAGAGGTAATATGATTAGTCCCATAAGTCAGAGATGGAATGTTGTAGACTAACCCAGGGTGTTACCCAGGAAAAAATTTCCTACAGCGTTTTTGTGAAATTGGGAATTTAGGTGCTGCTAAAAAAAAAAAAAAGGTCCTTACATTCTGAAATTAAATTTTAATCAAAATAAATTTTCTATTTTTGCTGGGAGTTACATTTACAGCAGGATTATTTTTCTACTTTATATATGTTTAATTTTAATTAATCAACTTGTTTCATTATGAGCAATCTTCTAAAGTTTTCATTTAAATCACTTCTTTTCTTTGTTTTTGATATACTGCAGCCGTTTTTAAAAACGCCTTAATTACGTATTTCGAGAAAAGCGCAATTAAAAAAAATTAAAAAAAAAAATCTGAATTTGAGAATAAGTGACGTCAATAAAAATTTTAAAAAAATAATTTTTTTTAACTTTTGAATGAATGATCTTGTTAAGGTTAATGACGCTCTTTAATGACGACATGCTTTTTCACATTAAAAAAAATCAATCAGTTTAATTCATTTTTTTGTCATGCATACTACTTTTTACTAGTCTAGCGCGACACTTTAAATCTGAGACTGACTTAATTTTTTTTTTTTTTACTACGATCTTATAAACCTTTGGGAATTTTAAACCAATTGGAAATACTGCGTTATACGCGGTGCCATCAGGATGGGTAACACCCTGTAACCTTTGTTATCCTAATAAATAGGCTTTTGTTCTCAAGAGAGTTGTTCTTTTGAAATAGATAAAAAAAAATTAGATAAAGCAGCTGCATAAGAAGGTGAAAACTGTGGAAAAGAATGACTTGAAACCAACCAGATAAATTGTTGTGGTTGCGTGTGGCTTGTGGCTCAGCACATTTTTTTCTAATCTTAATTAATTTTTTACTTTTTAATTAAATTTAAGAAAATTTCATTCCCAATTAAAATGTTTTTGTATATGTAAGGATAAAAACACATTATACTGGATATATTTATTATACAAAAACATATTTTCATATATTTAGGCCTACATTTAGAAAGAAAATGAGTATGCTTCTTTTCAAAATTTTCTAAAATTTGTAAAATTTTGAAAATCAAAATATTTCATATATTTTTAAATTTTAGCTTGTTTTTTTAAATTTTTTTTTTTTTATTTTTATTTTTATTTTTTTACTTTTTTTTTTTCTTTAATTTTTTTAGTTTTTAATCTGTTGGTTGAATTAGGTGTTTGCTTAATTTAATTTATTCTCCTATTTGTTATGTTACTTAAATGGCTTCTGTTATTCTTTTATAAATTTAGTTTTTTGTTGTTAATTTTAAAAATTTATACTTGTTTTTGTACTAGGCAAATGCTCTTGGAATATCTGGAGATCTGAAAGGAGATGGTCTTCAATTAGGTGGAACATATGTCGTAGAAAAAGGTGGAAAAGTGTTGTTTGAACATAAAATGACAGGGTTCGCTGATCATCCTTCTATTGAAGATTTATTAAAAGCTTTAAATATTAAATCTGGTTTGTAGCTTTTTCTGAAAATAAATATAGTTTCTACATTTTTTATACAGTAATAATTTTATTTATATGTACCATTGTCGGGTACTATTAATCTTTCAAGATAAACTAACTTTTATGTTATAGTTGTAAAACCTAAATGAAACTAGTTGTCATGGCACCTATAATAATTGAAATATATATTGTTTTTAATTTGCCGAAAACATTTAACAACTTAAAAATACTTTAAATTGTTTCATTTTTAAGTGGTCTTTGTATAAACAATTTTAGTGTTTTTATGCATTCGATAAAAGATTGAGATGAATTTGCATTTCTTGCACTACTGTTGTGACCAAGTGTTCTATCGTTACTTACATAATTTTTATAATATAAGAGTTTTCTAAAAGAACTAAAAATACTTTATGATTATATGCAGTTTTCATTGAGAAAAGCAAAATATAATAAAATGCTATAAAAAGTTTTTTTATGAAATCTTGTAGCATCAACTTTGTTAAGTTGTTACAAAATATTTTATAGATCAGGGTTGCCACCAAATCAGGGAATTCAGGGAAATTAATATACGATCAGGGGAAATCATGGAAAAAAGATTGATTTAATTAAAAGTCTGGGAAAACCAGGGAATTGTTTAATTTTGTACTATTTTATATTATTGTTTTAAATGTTTTAAATAATATCCAGTTTTAGTTAACTAGTCAAATTATTATATAGCTCAAAAGATTGTTCAAATATATTATATTTGATAATTATAAAAAAAATTGACTTTTATTTTGGCCATTAATTTATAGTATAAACCAAATAAAAAGTTTACACAAAACATTTTATGGTTTGAGTGGAACCATTAATAATAATTTTATGTAGGTTTGAGTGGAACCATTAATAATAATTTTATGTAGGTTTGAGTGGAACCATTAATAATAATTTTATGTAGGTTTGAGTGGAACCATTAATAATAATTTTATGTAGGTTTGAGTGGAACCATTAATAATAATTTAAATAATTTTATTAGGTACTTTTTTGTGTAGAAATAGCTGCAACATGTGAAAACTTTCAAAGTTTCTTTAAACCATGTTGTATTTTCATTATTTTTTTTTTTAAAGTAAATTTTAAATTACAGTTTATTTCAGTTAAGAATGTTTGAGTGATCCATAGTTTAAAAAATGGCTGGTAAATGGCACAAATAAAAAGTCAGTCAAGTGCAAAACATGCCAAGTTCAATTCAACTTATCAAATATATATCAGAGCTGTGACGAGTCACATGGAGGGGAAAAATCGTGTTCGGAAAATCAAAACCAATATCCTGCTACTTCAAACCTGTACTGTCTACATCTGAAAACCAAGGAGTTCTTATAGTAGATCAATTTGATAAAACTTTTGCAAAAATCTTTTTTGCATGCAATACAAAATAATTTCTCATTGAACTTGTGTAATGAAAATGTTCTACTATATCAAAATATATTTCCTGATATTATAATGGTTAAATCTTATGAGATGGATAGAAAAAAACTTGGTTATTAATTTTGGTAATAGGCATTATTTACGCATACTTTTAAAAGAAATATGGAAGTTCCTTTTTATATTTTTTCTTTTGATGAAAGCCTGAATGATGCTTTTCAAAATTGTCAAATGGATGTAAGTATTCGTTTTTGGAATGATGATCTAAATCGTGTTGACTCAAAATACTTTGACTCAAAATTTTTGGGCTACCCTCCTGCAAAAAAAATCACTTGAAAGTATGGCCACATCTTTGGCAATGATTAATTGCATAAATCTGCCAAAACTGTGTACAGATGGCTCAAAGTAAACAGCTTACTACTTGATCTTATTAAAAAACAGCCTGAGCAACTAGAGCTACCTTCTTAAAATTAAGAGTTGCCAAACTAGCTATGTAACAAAAAAAAAATTCTTGGTTACATAGCTAGTTTGTTGCTGGAAATCTTAGTGAGATATCAGACACCCAAATAGTTCAATCTCTTTAAATATTTGTTTTCAACTGATTAAAGCTTAATGAGTTGAATAATTAAACAAGATGTTTTATGCAGCATCATCGATAGAAGGCAATTTCTAAAATTTTATTTCACTGAAAGCAGAAGTTTATGTTGTTAAAATCAATGACAATTGGTTTTGCTGCAGAACATATTGTCATGAAAAAAGGTGTCCAGATGTGATCATTATATTCCAGATGTGATCAATATATTCAGATTGTTTTAAGTTATTTAAGTTCTTGAAAAAGTTTAAATTGATCTTCTTTTCTTGAAACAATTAGTTATATCAGTTTAAAGTAAATTCTATCAATAAAAAAATCTGATTTTCTTATGCAGATGAAATCTGTGAAATATTAGCTTCATCTAATTAAAATTAGGACTTAAGAAGCAGAAAAAAGTTTTGAGTGACTTAAGAAGCAGAAAAAAGTTTTGAGTGACTTAAGAAGCATAAAAAAGTTTTGAAGTATGAAATGAAAATTATTATTGCCTTTTTAGTTATTTAAAATATTTTAAATGTTGATTTTTCTTTCGAGCTTTTTAATATTTTGACATTCTTTATTAGGGCGTGTCAATTTTAGACTTTTTTTGAAAAAAAAGTTTAGTAAAATTTGAGGTATAAGTAAAAGTTGCAAAATTTTATGCAGAATCTAAATCTGTTAAATTTTTTAATTCAGAAAAATATTTACTTAGGTGATTAGCCTTCTTATGAAAGTATTAACGGTTTTTATTTTCTTTTAAACAGAATAACGACTTTACCGGACAATACTGTACATAAAAAAAAAAAGACTTTTTAACAACAAAACAAAGTTACATTAAGTTTATAAAAAAATCATTTATGTTAATATGTATAAAGTATTTGAAAAATTTTTGTATTAAACGCGTAAAATAACTTTTTATTAAAAAAAAAAATTTACTCAAACATAATTTTTTTATCTTAATAATGGTCAGTAAATTAATTTTTCATTGCCACATTAAGTAAACAACTGCGAACTGGATATTGTTAAATATAAATTTAAGAACTTTTAATCAATTGCTTTCATTCCTAAAATATTAAAATTTTTTTTTTTTTTTCATTACTAAACAATAATCAGGGATAATCTTTATCCGGATATTTCCGGGGTTCCGGATATTTTTCTCAACTTTTAGTTTTTCCGGATATCAAAAATGTTTTCTATACATACAAGTTTAGGAATATATTATACTCATTACTCATACAAAAATAAAGAAAAGTTAAAAAAAATTAAATATAGCTCAGCTAAAATCAAAATTAAGAGGAATATTAGGGAAAATATTTTCTGGATATTTTACCCTACTGATTTTCCGGATTTTTAAAATAAGACCTAGATGATCTATGAATAATAAATTCTCTTTAAATATTTTATAACTTGGAGGAATAATGGCACCCAAAACCAGAATAAGTACTAGTACGCAAATTAGTGTTGCATTTAGTACAGGAAAACAATTTCTAGTTTCAGAATTACCAACCACCAGAGACGTTATAAGATATGCAATTTTATTGAGAGGGTTGCGAAGACATAGAATAGCAAAAAGTGGAAAAATTAAATGCACATTTTTTGATGGGAGAATCGATCAAACAAAGCAAATGATTGAACTTGAGAGAATTTTCAGTAACAGTGAAAGAAGAACATTACTCTGTTTGTATGGAACCTGGAGGGAAATATTTATTTCACTTTACTCCTGAGAAAGCAACAAATTGTATTAAACATGCAGAGATTATAGCAAATAAAATTGTTGAATGGCTGACTGAGAGAGGTATTGACAAGTCTTTACTGGCTGTTGGTGGAGACTCTACAAATTTAAACACTGGTTGGGAGGGTGGAATCATCAAACATATAGAAATAAAATTAGAAATTGGTTTACAAGCCAAGTCCATACAAATAAGTTGCCACTGAGGCATCTTATAACCAATTTAGATGGTCAAACGAAATCAAACAATAAATGGTCTGGTGTTATTGGTTCCATGCTTGATCATTCTACAGATCTAGATATAAATCCAGTATTTGAAACTATTAAAATTGGTAATCCACTTATTTCTCTCGATGATAAATTAATAAATGACCTGTCTGCAGATCAATTTTATTTGTTATATAGTTGTTTGTGCCATTAGAAGTGGTATTTTACCACCAAAATTTCATTTATTACAAATTAGGCCTGTTTCACATACAAGATGGTTAACTACTGCTAACAGAAAATGTAGAATATGGATCTCGAAACATGGAATTTAAGGTAAAGATTTAGAAAATTTAGGATCTATCATCGAGTATATTGTAGGTGATTATTTTCCTTTAAGGTTTAAGATTAAAGTTGAACATTCTTGGATTGATGGTCCTAAACATGTACTTTACCAACTGCAGCAATTCAAATTTCAAAAAGAAGATGTCATTAAAATAGTATCACCCTCTATTCAAAGATCAGCTTGGTTTTGTTTCAGTGAGTGTATACTACAAACATTGTTGTGTTCTAATACTGAAGAGGATACAAGTGTAGCTATTAATAAGATAAAAGATATTAGAGGTACTGGAAATAAAGATCGACAAAAAGGTGATTCTTTATTACCATATAGTTTCATTTTTTTATCTGACTAACAATATATATTTACGACTCTATAAAAAAAGTTTGAAGACTTATGCATAACCCGTTATATTTTATACAAATTCTTAAAGGAAATATTATAATATCTAAAATTAGTATATTATTTTTTCTACTTTGTTTGATATTTATCAAACAAAGTAGAAAAAAAAGCTTATTAATGTCTAAGTAAAAACCGGTTTTTTTTTTTGAGAAACCAGGTCAAAATTTTATTAAAATGTAAAAAGTTAAATCACATAAGTGATTTAACTTTGAATTAAAAAAATTTTTAATTTAATTTTTAAAATTATATTTGGATTCTCCATCAAATTCTGTAACTCCTCGATTTTTTTCTCGAAAAAAATCAAAAATTGAATCACTCTATTCTTTATGTTTAATATTAGTTTTTACATTTGTTTCAAAGACCAATTTGCCAATTTCAACTGCTTTTTAAAAGGGTACAAAATATTTAAGCTTGGTTTTCCATTTAAAACAGAAATTTAAAAATTTCTTATATATAGAAAGGGGCTATTTGTTTTTTTGGGGGCGTGTCTGAGGGTTCATGTTGAAGTTGTTATTCTAAGTTATTGAGTAAAAATAAAATAAATAACAGGGGAATACAAGCAAAATCAGGGAATATCAGGAAATTTTATTCCAGAATTATAGTGGCAACCCTGTAGATGCATATATACATTTTTAATTAAAGACATATTTTAGTAAACTCAATTATTTAATAGTTTCAATATGGGTTTCTTATTTGCCATGCTATTTAGTTCTTTTCATGTCAAAACTTTTACATTTACCTTTTAGGAATTGTAAAGTAAAAAACTTGTTTACAGCTTTATAAAATTGTCTAGCATTTGGAGTTATTACTTGTTGAGCTTTAACTCTTATCATAATGTTCCTTTTCAAGTTCCTTCTATTCTATTAATTTTGTTTCAAACGCTTTTTACAGCATTAGCTTCTGACGAACTTTATTTATTAGTTATCTATTTTACTAGTAGAACAAGAAATATCAATAACACATTAAGTGTTTGGAATGCTGTTTATTTCTACGTTTGTGCTGTCGTAGCATTGTAGGTTTCCATTTATTTTTCACTTGTTCTGGTATTGAATGTTGATGGGGGAATACTATTTAGTTCTTTTTCTATTTCTTTTTTATTTCTCTGTAACATACAGACTTGCTCAATTTAAGCATTGTCTTTATAGTTATATAATTTAATAAAGATTTTTAGATGATATAATTTAGATTACTTTCTATTTAGATGCCCTACCTTCAACTTCAAAAAGTCCAGGAAAGATTACTTGCAACGAAGATGCATGTCAGTTATAATAAAATAAGGTTTACGCGAGCCAAATTGATTTTCTTTACAAAAATTAGGCAGATATAATAAGAAAATATTTTGAAATAAATTTTAGGGTTCTAATTTAACTTTAAGTAAAATTCATACGTTTTTATTAATAATTTTTATATTATTTCCTTGTTTTATTAAATCGAACTTAAAATTCAATCATGTATCTTAATCAATTTGGCCATTATGATTTGCGTGTCTTTTTTTGCTATTATGATTTGGGTGTCTTCTTTTGCGCGTTAAAACGCAAAATGTAGTTTTTTTTAAAAATTTGTCAATTTCTATTATTGCTAATTGTTTATTCACATTTCGGTATTTCAAAATTTTCAATTATGTATATTTTTTCGTAATATATTTTTTATTATAAAATATTATGAAGTTGTGAGAGGCTTTCCGCAAGGAACTCTTAGCGACTGATGGAAAGTATTTGGTAAACAATATATTTGTAAAAAAATACAAATTAAATAAATTTAAGTTAGCGATTTTTTTATTTCATATATTTTATATCAGAGTTGAAAATGCCTACCGGCACCCACGTATTTTGTCAATTTAGGCTGCTAAAATTCAATTTTATAAAACTTGCAAATGAAAAAATATTTAATTAAGTAATTTTAAGTAATCAGTGTTTTTGTTAAAAACACTAAGTAACTGCAAATAGCTTTAACAATAAGCCGCATGATTAGGGATGGCAAAAATCCCGGAAATTTTCTATCCCGGGATATTGGGAATGAGACGTTTGTCCCGGGAAAACCCGGGGTTGAATAGAAAAAAACGCAAACGCAATTGAATACTTTTTTAAAAAATAATGCTAAGATGTTAAAAAAAAACCAAGCAAACACTCAAAAAACTTGTGATTAATCAGTGAATGTGATCAATCAGTTAATTGGTATAAATAAATGTTCGAACAATAATTTGCCTCAAAAACTCAAAATTAATGGGAAAATAATCAGTAATAAAAAAAACCATCGTTGAAAAGCTCAATGACTATTTCCTTGAAGTTGGCCCAAAGTTAGCAGATAAAATTCCAAATATCACCACAAATTTCAAATCCTATATAAAACCAACCAATATATCTATGAAAGAAGTTAATTTAAATATAAATGAAGTGCGTAATGCATTCAATAGTCTGAAAAATAATAAATCCGTTGGCATTGATCAAATTAGCGTGAACGTAGTTAAAGCAATCTTTGATATCATTTGAACCATCTTTGTTTCATATTTCTAAACCTTTTAATACAATCCGGTATTGTACCGGAGAAATTAAAAATTGCTAAAATAACACCTATTTTTAAAACTGGCGATAACACAATTATGTCAAATTATAGACTTATTCCTGTCTTACCATGTCTTACTATCTAAATTATTGTCTTACATGTTTTACCATCTAAACTACTAAAACGAAAGACTTATTAAATATTTAACCAAAAACAAATTACTGTATAATAAACAAATTGGATTCAAAAAAAAAACCATTTAACGGATCATGCAGTAATCGATTTAACAAATTATATATCCGATGGGTTCAATAACGATTGTTATACACTAGGAGTTTTTATTGATCTGTCAAAAGCTTACTCTGGTTTAAAAATTACCTGACAAACAGGAAACAATACATAGTGTATAAAGAAAATGAAACAGGAATCAAAATTATAACTTGTGATGTTCCCCAGGAATCCATCTTAGGACCACTTTTATTTTTGTTGTACATTAACGATTTATATTTAGCTTCCAAAACTTTAAATCTTATTTTGTTTGCTGACGACTCTACTTTTTTACTCAAATAATAATATAAAAGATCTTTTTAAAATATATTATGAAGAACTAATAAAAGTTAATGATTGAATCACTTGTAATAAACTTTCATTAAATGTACTGAAAACTAAATTCTTGTTGTTTCATAAACCTAGTAAGAGTGATCATCTCCCTCCTAAATTGCCCGATCTCTTTATGAATAATTCAGTTATTAAAAGAGAATCAAATGTAAACTTGGGAATAATATTAGATCATGGAAATCTCATATAAAACCTATTGAAAATAAAATTTCCAAAAATATTTTTGTTAAAGAGTTAAACCATTTCTTAATATCAAGTCTTTAAAAATTATATATTTTTCATTTATCCATAGTTATCTAATCTATTGCAATATTGCATGGGGAGGTAGCAACTATGGAAAGCTTAAAAAAGTCTATAGTAAACAAATAATGGAATGCAGAATTATTTTTGGCGTTAAGAGAACTGCTCATGAGAGCCTCTCCATTTGAAATAAATGCACTCAATATTTATAAACTTTATATATATATATATATTTTTTAAGTTGATAAGGTGCCCCAAGAAGTCCTTACGGTCTTATGTCTTATCACAGAGCACCGCGGAAGAGCATTTAATGGGAAGTTCACGCCTCCTTCCCAACCGATGTCGCAAAACTTTCCCAGAGGTGTGGTTTGAAGCACGGATCTTACGTTTCTTAGGCAAGTGCGCTATCAAGTTATCATATGCACTATCATATATCAAGTTATGCTGTTCATGTTTAGATCCAAACATGGTTTGTCGCCTAATATATTTCACTCTTACTTTACTAAAATTTCTCATAAGTATCCCACTAATTTTTCAAATGATAATTTTGTAGTTCCAAGATTCTATATAAAACTCAGTTCATTCCAAATACAATATCGTAGACCATTTCTATGGAATAAATTTTTTCAAAAAACTATTAAAAATAACATTCTTTAAAACATCTTTTTTGAACAATTCAAAACAGTATGTAAACGTTTCTCATTAGGAATAAACTTTAGGAATAAATATTAGTATTATTCGAAATCCGTTATCTGGCCGAATAATAACATTATCTGGTTTTGGATAAACCGGATATTTGAAGTTAATGTTATTTAGAAATTTAAAGATTTAATAGACCAAGAAATATTAGAGTAGATTTGGGTAATATGAGCACCTTGGTAATATGAGCATACTTAAAGATTTATTAGATGTAAGCAGTGAAGTTAAAGTTTTTTTATGTTTTTCGAATCGACTTTATGTGGTGATAACAGGAAGCAGTACAATTAGCGTAAATTTATACGCAGTAATTAGCGGATATCATCTAATTAAAACGCTTTTAAATTTTTTGCTTTGTTAAAAAAAATCATCACGCGTGAATAATTCTGTGGCGCGATATTTTGGTGCTAAAATAATGAAATTAATTTTTTCATAAAGAAAAATATAATAGCTAAAAATCCAATTCATTTTTGTTTAAAAAATAATGCATAGAAACATTTTATTTAAAGATACCATTTTTGTTTAATATGAGCATGCTCAAATTACCCAGTGCTTTTCCTTGAAATTGCTTAGTTTAAAGTCCTAAAATAGCAGTGGTTTTTAATTGCTTCTTGAATAAAAACAAAACATAGTAAAAAATTTTAATATATTAACAATACTAAATATTTTTCTGTAATTTAAATCTAAAAAATTTTAATTTTTATTGTTCAAAGGTTTGAGTTAACAAAATTGAAAAAACAATGTATTAATTTTTTTTTTTGGCGGAAAACATAGTAGTATTGTTTCAACAAAATGTAGCTTAAAATTTGATCTTTTAATGATATGTTTTGTTAATCACGAATCCTTATATTCCAACAATTAGTTCTATTGAGCAGGTTTGTCTTTTTTTACTTAATTAATGCAATTTTTTGAGCTAATTTAAAGTGCTCATATTACCAAGGGGTCAGGGTAATACGAGCACTTTTGCTACTTTTTTAAAACCTCTGTGTTTTTAAGAAAAAATGTCAAGTGCCCAAATATCTAAATAAATTATGAATAGGGATCCCTAAAAATTTTATTTGCAAAAATTTTGGATCCAGCATATTTATTTTTGAAAATATTCCAATTTTTGCTTGAAGTGCTCATATTACCCTAATCTACCCTATAATTTTAAATAATCTAATGTTAATGGTTTCTATTCAATATTGTTATTATTATTATTAATAATTTATTATTTATATCCTATTAAAATTAAACGCAACAAATACATCAGTGTATCACTCATTTATAAATTTATTTCCATTATGATGTATAAATAGTAACATTTCTCCACGTTGAGGTAACAGCCTGGATCGTTTTTTTTTTGTAAATATTTCCATATTTGGAAAACAATTGCTCCAAAAATACAGAGGATGCTGGAGGTGCTAATAATTTAAGAGTTAACTCTTTTAGAAATGGAAACTTCTCTTCGTGTTTCCAATAATTAAAAACGTCTTCTTTTTTTTCTATCATCAAGTGAATAAAGAAAAAATTAACTTCTTTTACAAGGGAGACTTGATCAGGATTTATTTCACCATTTTGTTCTGTAATATAAAAGAATTTAAATACTAAAGATGATTTATTCATTTATATATTTTCATTCAATAACAAGTATATAAAGGTGAGTTTCCACTCATCCGTTTTTCTACGGGAACGTGAAAAATAATCACTTGAGCATGCGCAGTTTTACTTCGGACATATTAAAACTTATAATACGCATGCCCACGTGATTATTTTTCCCTTCCCTTTCCCGTTCCCGTGAAAAAGCGGATGAGTGGAAACTCACCTTTATACTTAAATTAGTAAACCCACAACATGCAGAATATAGCTGTTATTAAAAAAAAAACCTAATAAAAAGTTTTTCTGTTTATCAAAAAAGTTTTTAAAATTATTAAAAACTTTTTTAATAAACAGAAAGAGATTTTTACCTAAATTCTGCAAGTTCAAAAAAGCAGGAGTTAAAGTCATTCTCTTCTTCTTTTTTTTTTTTTTGGATTTTTTAATTTGCTTAAAATGTAAGCGTTTGCTGGTGGAAAGAGCAAGAGTTTTTAATAAAAGTTATACATTAATTTTAATATATATTTTTAATTTTAATTATATATATATATATATATATATATATATATATATATATATATATATATATATATATATATATATATATATATATATATATATATATATATATATATATAGAATAATTGATGGGAAAATAATCAGTAATAAAGAAACCATCGTTGAAAGTTAGCAGATAAAATTGCAAATATCACCACAAATTTCAAACATTATTATATGTATATATATATATATATATATATATATATATATATACATACATATATATTATATGTATATGTATATGTATATATATATATATATATATATATATATATATATATATATATATATATATATATATATATATATATATATGTATATATATATATATATATATATATATATATATATATATATATATATATATATATATATATATATATATATACATATATATATATATATATATTGTTTTGAGTCTTCTTTTTAGTAAAATACAGAAAAATAGAGTTTTAAAAGGAAAACATTGCAAAGAGAATAAATAATTACACAACCAAACTGCTGCTATACCAAAGACGATATAAAAATTACTAAACTACAGTTAATAGCTTAAACTTTATTAACTTTTCCTTTTTTTGACGATCCCCAAATCCTGGGAAATTTTGGAGACTAATCAGGGATTTCGGGATGAACAATTTGTACAAAATCCTGGGATCTCAGGATCCCGGGATTGCCATCCCTACGCATAATCAAAAGTTGATTAATTAATCGAAGTTTATGGATCGCTCATTTTTTAAGTAGATACCACCATCGAATATAGGTTAATTAAAAAATATTTCAAAATGATTAGTGATTTTATTTAAGTTAATTATGGTGAATATATTTAACCCTTTATTTACCAAGGTAAGGTAACTTTCAATATTGTTGACACTATTGACATTTTTTTTCAACATCTATTTTGTAGAATGAAAAAACATTAAAACATTTTAAAAATTTTTTGCTGTTGCCATGGAAATAAGTTTGGGACAAATAAGTCCCGTCGGGTATTTCCGGTTTCAACATTTTTGAAAGTTCAAATTAAAATACAATTAAATTGTTCAAACAAATTATGAATAATTTAGATTATAACAACACATTTTGAAACAAAATATTTTCATAGTTCATGATACAAAATGTTCATATTATAGATGGGTCTTTTTTCTGCGATAAATTACAATTCATGGTACTTAGCAAAACAATTTCTCTTATCAATCAAGCATAAGTATACTTCACAAGCACTACATTTTATATGCGGACGAGCTTCTCGTTTCTCTTGTGCACATACCTCGCAACGACCACGGCTACTGTCAAATTTTGGCCAATTAACACCTAAATTTTCTTTTCTAATAGCTGAGGATACCGAATAAGTCAGTGACTTTCTTTTTTTTGATGGGCCTTGCTGGGTTGAAGATAACAATGGCCGCCCTACTTTTATAGGACGCCCACAAGTGATTAAAGATTGCGCTACCATTCTTCGAAACAAAAGACTTTTCATTTTGGCTCCGGTAATTTTATTGAATGCAATAAATGAGTTACATAATGCTCTTTCAATTAAACCAAAAAAGATTCGATGCCACCATTTTTTGGATTTCCGTGATAAGCCATATGAAGAAATCAACTGATCTGCCATGTCGACGCCACCCATAAAGGTATTATAATCTTTTACGGAAACAGGGCAATTAAAATCTTGTTCCATCTTTCTGTGTTCTTAAAACAGTTGCATGTTCTGTTCCATGAAAATTAGACAATATGTTCACAGATTTGTTATCTTTCCATTTGTAAAATACTAATCCTCCAGCTGAAACCCGATAGTCAAAGTCACCTCTTTGAAGCATTTTATCACTTTTTAAGTTTTTTGGCAAGTATTTCCTGTCTGAACGTATTGTTCCACAACAATAGACTTAATGTTGTAATAGGTATTCCATTAATGGAACAGTGGTAAAATAGTTGTCAAAATAGACCTGATGATGTTTTCCATGCAAAGTTTTTGTTAGTTGGTACACGACTGATGCTCCTAATCCAAAATGCTTAGGCATTAAATCATCACTTTGAATTTTGTTTTTACCTTGATAAACTTCACAATGATACATATATCCATCCATGTCAGCAATGGCCCACAATTTAAAACCCCTTTTTATAGGTTTCATTGGATTATATTGTTTTAAACTGCTCCGACCCTTAAAGAGAATCATACTTTCATCTATGCTAATACGTTGAGATACATTGTATAGCTTAACAAAGTTTGAGTTTAGTTGGTTAATCAATGGTCTCAGTTTGTACAATTTGTCTTTATTATCGTTTGGTTCAGCAGCATTATCATTCACATGAATATTGCTTAGAATTTGAGCGAAACGATTTCTTGGAAGAGCACTTGATGCAAATGGTACTGTCAAATCAGGCTCACAACTCCAATAATCCGTCCATGATAGTAATTCATGATAACCCATTATAATATTGATTCCTAAGAAGGAAAAAAACTCTTGCAATGAAACATTTAGAACAGCCTTCATGCTTTGTGTTATATATAGATTGGTTTGATAAAGTATGTTCTGTTGTATTTCATTGTCAAAATAAGAAAAAAAGTAATCAATAGGATTTTGACAATCAGCAAAATGGTCCTTGACCGGGCCTTCATAAGATGAAAATGGAGTTTCAATTTGGTTTTTAGTCTTTTTAGTCCATTTATGATCTTGTTCAACATTATAATCCTCATGGTCAATGCTGATGTCTTCCATGCTACTTTCTGAATCGTTGGAACTTTCTGATTCATTTTCAACAGGTTCCAGTAATTTTAGAGCATCTGATATAAATTCATTTTCAGAATCACCTGACTCAATGTCCTCACTAAAATCACTAGGGATTTCCTCTATAATGTAGCGAGCAGCTTCTTCCGATGTAAATAACTTTTTATTTGACATTTTTATTAAACTAATAAAAAAAATAATAAGTAAATACCATATAATCATAAAAAAACTAAAAAATAAAATTAATATTTTTTTGGTAAATTTTGAGTCAATAACACCTGACGGGACATATAAGTCCCACAACAAATTTTACAAAAATATAATATAAAAATGCAATAAAAACTCATCAAAACAACATAAGTATTTATTTACTATAATAAAGATCAATCAAAAAAATTCCCAATACACAAATATATTTAAGGTTATTTATATACAACTTTCAAATCAAGAAAAAAATTTATTAGAACTGCAAGCTTTAGTAGACATATTGTAAACAAAAATATGTGCTTTTGAACAATGACTTTAATGATATTTTATTATATCAAGATAGTAGAAGGTATATCTTTTAATTTCTATAAATTAATATCAATAATTTACATTCTCACTAAAAAATATAGGCACTAACTTACAGTGGGACTAATAAGTCCCGTCGGTAAACAAAGGGTTAAAAATTCAACTTTATATATAGTACTCGGTTCACTTTCTTGTTTTTTGTAAATTTACTTGCAATTTATAAGTTATTGCAATTTATTAGTTCCTAGCATTTTGTGGTTGTTTTTTTTAACAGTTACGCTAAAGTTTTGATTTCAATGATGCGTAAAAATTACATAATATGTTTTGGTTACGTAATTACTTGTTAATTTTTTTTATTTTTGAATGCACAATAGGAATAACCCAAGGGAATTGCTGTCTCTATAAAGATTTTACAAAAGTTTAATAAAAATTACTCAGCGTTTTTGGAGTAAATTATTTAACTTTACGTAAATAAAAATTTGAGCGATTTTACTAAAATTTTTATTCACATAAAGCTGAACAATTACTCCAAAAATATTTTGCTGAGCAAATCAATTGTTGTTTTTTTATTCACCCGCCCTATAATAATTATTATTATTTTTATGCTGCAACTCGCGGGAGTAAGACCTGTTTTTTTATTAGTGATAAATTTTTACGTGCAAAATGGAAATATCAATGAAGAACAACAAAATAAAAATGATTGCAAAAAAATATGCTTAAAGAAACTGAACATTTATTTAAAGAGCAGGAAAAATCTTTTAAATTGATGAGTGCAAAACTGAAAATTATTACTTATAGACTCGATACGATAGAGAAAAAAGCTAATGACAACAAGTCGAAGGTATAAAATATTGAAAAAGACCTGAACGACATAATAGACAACCTAAGCTTTTAAGAGGATAAAACGTTTGAAAATATATCACATTTAAAAAAATATTACGACAATCAAATAAATATACTATATGAAAAATAAATAGACTTTGAAAATCCAAAAGAAATAATTAAAGAATAAAAGTACTAAAAGAGTCTCCAGGAGGAATTGGGGCAAATTTGAAAAAGCGGCAAATATTGTTAAACAGTAAACATTTATTTTGCTGTTTAACAATAAATAATCAAACAAATATATATACAAGAAAGAAAAAATATGTCCGTCGAACAAAGAAGACAATAAAATCTTGTCAACAAGCACCGTTTTCGTATATACAGTATAAAATAAACACTTCTTTTTACAATGATCTTTATAAAATAAAGAGTTAAACAGACAGGGGGTCATCGCAATCTTTTCATAGAGCCCCTATTTAAATACGTTATATATCTCTACTTAATAAAAAATTTTGAAAATCCTTAAAAAATAACTATATAAATAGGCTTTATGATATAACACTGTATAAAAGCTAAGTTGTCTTGATAGGGTTAGAATCAAAAATGTGGTCGGAATTTGGTCACTACACACCCTAAGCAAAACAAAAAAAATGATCCCTTTGCAATATTTATAATAAATATTTAGCAATATTTATAATATAAAATAATATACTTTATAATATAAAATATTTGTAATATAAAATAGCAATATTTATAATATAAAATAGCAATATTTATAATATAAAATAGCATATTTCAGAAAAATATTACTGAGAAAACCGGGTTACTTGTCAGACACGGATAAAATTATCAGTACCCTGCAAAATAGGTTTGTGTAGTATACAAAAATAGGTTTGTGTAATATATTTAATACATCATCGCAATCTTTTCATAGAGCCCCTATATAAAAATTATTAACTTAATTATGCAAACAAGTTGTTAAACATCACACTTACAACATGATAGGCCGGGTGAAAATTAAAATTGCATTAACCTAGCGTTTTTAGAGTGACTTCTCAAATTTACGTAATTAAAAATTTAAGGAAAATTGCTCAAATTTTTATTTACGTAAAACTGAGCAATTTACTTTAAAAACACTGAGTAATTGCTCAGCTTTACGTAAATAAAAAATTGTGCAAAACTGCTAAAATTTTTATTCACGTAAAGCTGAATAATTACTGAGTAAAAGCAATTGCTTTTTTTATTCACCTGGTCTAATTACTAACATTACAAAAGATTTTGAAACGCTAATAAAGTCTTCGAAATCGCTAATAATATTTTACAAAACAATTTGTACGACCCAGACGCACAAATTTTTCAAGGAATTAATTTTGGTTCGCAATATTTTAAAACAAAAACTTTTACAACTAAACGTGAAACTTTAAAAAATAATTTTACTGCAATAAATTTTAAATGTATAAGGAAAAAATCCTGACATGTCAAAACTAATAGATTCTGATAGATTGCAATATTATTTTGCGTCATCTGTTTAACAGAAACATGGTGTTCTGATGAATCAAATAAGCATTCATATTCTTTGTTATAAACAAAAGGAGGGAAGTAATGCTACAAATATCCAAAAACTTTTAAATAAGAAAAGAACTCTCAATCTCCAATACTTGCAGTGAAGTCTTAACGATTTAGATAACCAATAAAAAATCAAAAAATGCTTTACTTAAGTCTTGTTCATTTTCATCTCTCCTACGCTAATATTATTTGCGCTAACACACACACACACAACTAAATTAGTAAGATTACAGAGCTTACAAAATCACGCATGTAAAGCAATTAACTAGAGATTAGAAAACCCTTCTCTTTTAATAAAATACATGAATGTCCTAGATATATATTAAAACTTAATTTGCATCAAATATGTATAATATGTATAAATATAAGAATAACTTCAAAAATATTTTCTGATATTTTTACATCGGCTTTTTCACAAAAATACAACCTTTGGTCAAATGCCAACCATGACTATCATTTGAACAGAGTAAAATCACAAGTGTCAAAATTCTAAACTATTAGCCAAAGCCCGTCATTATGGAATCAATTGAAAAGTAACAGTATAAAAAATTTGAAAAGCATATTCTCTTTTAAACGACACATGAAACTACATCTCCTTAATTTATGATATATATTTAAGTTTGCTTGTATATGTGTGTGTGTTTATTTGTATATGTATATACGTGTATTTATGCATATATGTATATGTGAGTATGTATATATATGTGTGTGTATGTGTATATGTGTATGTGTGTATATGTATGTGTGTATGTGTATGTACGTATGAATGTATATGTTTGTATGTATGTGTATATGTGTTTATATTTATATGTTTATGTGCTCCTTTTTATATATATATATTACTTATATATACTTGATATGTTAGAGCATGTTTATTTTAAATTTGTTGGACTAAAGGATTTAATATTTATATTGCAACGGAGTTTTTAACGAATACACTTCACGTAGTATTTTTTTAAAAACTTTGGCATTCAGAAAAAATATTTTATTATCAACTTATTAAAGCCATGTGGGCTTTAAATGTTATTGTTAAGGGGCTCTATGAAAAGATTGTGGTGACACCAGTCATCTGTATATTCTTTGAGCCCCTGTTTTATATATATACTTTGTGTAACGTAAAAATTTCATTGTAGTTTTATTATTTATTTTTATATGAACAGCGAAATATATATTAAAATAGTATATATTTAATTAAATATCAAGTATTTAAAAAATAAATAACGTATCTCAAAACAATTCCAAAAAAAAACAGTAATATTAAAAAACTTGGAGCATATTAAAAGAAATAATTAGGAAAGTCTATACAAAATCGAATATTTTGCCAGATAAAATTGTTGTTCACGAAACAGAATATAAATTGAAATAGTTATTTTTCAAATATTAGCCTAACATGACTTCCAAAATTCAATGTTTATTTTTATTTTTTTTATTATTTATTTAATTTGCCGTTGATAAATATTACAAAAAAGAAATTACAATAAAAGAAAATCCTGGCTGGAGCAAGAAGAAGACAGGTTGTCTTATCACCGAGCTCCGTCACACAAAAATTTACATGCACAATAAATGATAAAAGACAAAAAGACAGTATAAATACAAAAACAAAAACAAATCAAAAACTTCAGCAATAAAATAATTTGTTGCTAACAATCTTCAAGCAGAATAATTTTAAAAATAAAAAAGTAAAAACAACAAAAAGTCATGAAAGTTATAAAAACACACAAAAAAATGTGTTGTTTAATTGAAAAAAAAAAAAAAGCAATATATGTAAACATAAGTATTTGGGCTGATTATTTAATATCATCAAAAATATGAATGAAAAAGACAATTTTATTTTCGTTATCTTTTAGACTAATGGTTTGAAACCATTTTAATAAAAGCTAAAGAAAGTGTTAAAGATTTAATTTATTTTTAAGAGATTTAGTTTAAACCTTTAAATTGTTTTCAAAAAAGGTATTTGAAATCTAGTATATCGAATTCCATGTTCAGTAAATGCCGTTTTGAATCATCCTTAAAACTTTGCAAAGTGCAGTTTAAAACGAAGTTTTGTTCTTTACTAAAGATTTGAAGAAATTCTTTCCGAACTAAAGGCCCCCGAAATTGAATTTGGTACGAACTTAATTTAAGAAAGTTTATGGGAACCACAAAGTTATTCACTGAAAATTTGGTTGGATATTTATGGGAGATTTCATTAAAGTAGGATTGAAATGTTACTGGAGAAAACCCAAGTTTTGCTTTAAACATAAATATCATTACTTGATAAATATTAAGCTTAT